ATTATATTATATTATATTATATTATATTATATTATATTATATTATATTATTATTATGTTATATTATAGAGATAGAAAATGTATGGAATGCTTGCGTCAATCCCTATGTGCCTATAAATTACACAAACTGAAATAGACTAGTGTTATTGATGCTCATGCTCGATTCCACGTGACTTTCTCAGTAATAATTTTGTTTTGGGGGTAATATGTTATTGGGTGGACTGCTTTTTGTTCAGAAATGTCTTTTATTTTAATTGGTTACTTTAACCTGCCAATCAAAAAGCCTCTTATTGATTGGATTGAATCATCTTTAAAGGCTTTTTTTGCTTCCATTTCTTTAAGCATAGGCTGACCAAGTGACCTATCCAAATCATTCTTCTTTTTGATTGGTTAAGTTGCTTGTCAATCTCACTCACGCTCGTCATTATTGGCTATTGACTCCAAGGAGGTTGGTAAATTTCTGGAAAAAACGTTTCCTTGTTTGTCATATGCGAAGCGAAAGGAAGGAGTCGTTGATCATATGGGGAACTAATAAATACCACATTCCGTGGAATTAACTCAACCATTTAGTCTGCAAATTATATCCATGCCTAATTTCCGTGTGCTGCCTTGATGATAAGGCTATAGGCGATATCTTGCTAGTGTTTGTGGAGCTATCTGTTATCACTTTGCTATCGGACTGCAGACGGCTGCTCTCCAAACACACCGCCTTTGCGGCGATGACTACGGATTTACTCTCTGATTTGGACAGCCGATTCTTCGCTGATAACCTATTGACAAGCGAAGACTGGGGTAAGTTTATATCTCATCCATTTATAGGTGAAAAAAACAATCCAAATGTAGCGCTACAAAGCGGGCCGGAGGTGTAACGGGTGTGTGGATGCGCCCAGGCGACCCGATGCGAGGTTAGCAGGGGCGTTACGCGAGTCCAGGGGACACCATTATTCGTCTTTAGCGTCGTTATTTCAGGCATAAAACACGGTAATTTGTTTTTTCTGCGAAGGATTCCTCGCCGAATGCTGCTTTCACGCGGTCACATTTAAATGTGAGCGTGCTTCCTCAATAGGCAGACCCGGACATGTCAGTATATCATCACGATGCGTGGAAACGTGAGGGCACGTTTTATATAACCGATAGCCTCTTTCATTTTTAACACAATTCTGGTTTGTAAGTGGATATTATTGCACGCTATAACCTTAAACTCCATAATTAATCGCAGGATTGTAAGATATTTTCAGGCTGGTTGTGTCTTTTTTTGTTTCCAAGCTTCTACGCCCAAGTTAAGATGGAGGTCCTTTTCACTCAGTTAAACGTTATTTTAATCTTTAAGTTTATTATTGTGCTAAAGACCAGCCAGTGCAGTTCGAAAATGTCCCAAAAGTCACTGATAATGCATGGAAACTTCAGATTTAAGTAAATCATAGACATGGGTTATTGTAGACTTTCTGGTTGTTTTAAATTACTTTAAATTACTCAGAAATTTCCCAAGAACATTTTTTTTTCCAAGTGTGGTTGATTCAGATTAAATGAAAAATAACCAAGAATTAGAAGCTGAAAACAATGTTGGCAGTTTGACTGAAAGGTATACAATATGCAATTGGTTCACAAAGCAGACATTTGTCCACCTTTCCCACCAGGTCAAACTGAGCTACCAAGTCTACTTGGTTTGGGCAGTTTTAGCGTTTCTTATGGCCTCACTGTGAGTGAGAAGGTGGCCTGAAAGTCCCATGACATCATTTGTATAAGACACAAACACGACACCGCAATGGATGAACTGCCAGTATCTGTACACCAGCTGGAGCTCGTCGTTGGACCGTGGTGTTGGTTTGCTTCTAGTCATTTACCCCGATGCCGATGACACGAACTCTAAACTCACACGGTTGCCTTCACACAACCGGCCAATCGGTGATCCTTTTGGCTCGGCTCCCTTGACTGAGCAAGTGCTGAAAGTTCACCTGGTACCAGAAGCCATGGTTAAATGATAGAAATTTTAAAAAATAACTAATCGAGTCCCCCGTGTAGATGCTTACCAAAAAGGGCCATTTGATTTATTTATTTTTTATAACGGAGGTAGGCTAAACGACCATCAACAGCACAAACCCAACTAAGAGCAGCCTGCAGTTGAGTATATCCCTCATATTTGAGTCTGCAACAGAATTTTATGACATATATACTACCGGTAGACAGCATAACAATATCTTTACCGACTTTCAACATGCTAAAAGAAGACAAAAAAAACAGTCCGCTTCTTGTTTTTACTTTTGATTTGAGGCACCGCAGATTTTTTTTTCACTCGGCATTAGTAAATGAACGTGTCTGATCTGGAGCTATCGGTCACCATCTGGCAATGGATAAATATCGATCAATCTCATTCACATCTGTTTTAATGTGCTTATTAATTACTGTGTTAAAACAGGATGCTGTGATGAGCTAATGGTAAATTTTGGTTCCTCTTAACAAGACTCAACCTTTTGTCCACTTTTTACGCACTCTAACATCTGTCGCTTAAGTTTTTAAGTAAATCTAAAACTAAAACAGTGAGATTAGTGAACCTGACCACCTATTGCAAATGTAGGACACAAGGTATTTTACTGTCCTGCAGGCAATAAACCGATTAGGTCAAATGAGATAAAACTGTTATGAGCCACATGAGAAAACTGTGTCAAAGCAGCAGAGAAGGATTTTACAGAGGACACACTCACCATGTCGAGGGGGGGTTAATATGAAAAATTACATTAAGGTTTTGTTACAGTGACTAAGATTTGAGCCAGCTGCTAATTCAAAATCCTCTTTCGGACTAAATTTGAGTTGTTTAATAATAGTTTGGCTGAATAAATTGATTACCAGGCTCAATATACCAGTTCAGACCCAGTTTGAACTAAAGATGAAACTGTTTGCCTTTCCGCTGACAGGCACGTGTGAGATGCACATCTGATATTTGTTGAAGCTGTCCTTAGTTCTTGCATGGATCGTGGATCTCACATTGTAGCTTTGGTAGCATTAGCATCATCAAACATCCTGCACAGAAATAAAACGAGTCTCGGTTTCATCACGATCACTCGGCAGATAGATGAATAAACACTAGCTGTTTCTATCCTGTACAGGAGCAAATATGCAAAATATAGCACGACGGTGTCAATATCCCATCAAGTTAGCAAACATTGCCTCTGCTAATTGCATTCATTTAAATATGTGATGTGTCATGTAATAGATTCACCACGTTAGCACTGATTTTCATTAGAGGTTTCCATCTGCCTCGATCTAAAATCTAAATCTAATCAAGCAGGCATAATGAATTTTAAGTTTCCATCGACCTTTTCAACTTACAAAGAATACAAAAAAACGCTGATTTGATTTTTTTTGCTGTTTTCTGACAGAAACACGACCTCTGATACTTAAAAGAAGTCATAAACTAAGGTGTTGCGGGTCTCTCGGTTCATTGTTTGACATTCATTAACGTGTTTCTGACATGGATTAGAAACTACTCCTGCAGGGTTGGATTTTAACGGGCTGATCTGTAGCGACAGCAGCTACTCACTAAGCCGCACCCAGCTGTTAAACTTGCCTTAACTAGCTCAGTGCCGTCTTTGCTGATGCAGCTCACAGAACAATGGAGTTTTAGGGGTTTATGTGAATATCAAGTCAACAAATAGTAGAAATGACACAGCTGAGTGTGGTTCAGTTTACACTCCACAAACACACCCAGGTGTGTTTGTCAAACGTGCTTAAATTTTGCACATCAGCAGATGATCGACTCAAGTTACGGTCTTGAAAGAGTAACTTGATCATGATCATATTGTTCCTTTCCCCAATAAGTCCAAGTGTTTGCTATCCAGTACAGGTTTCTTTCTTTGCTTCTTGCTCTTATGTTTGAATCCTGTTTCCCCCTTGCAGATGCCTGCCTCTACCAGTGTGAGAGCATGGAGGAGGGAGATGACGGAGACTTCGGACGAGGGCTGAAATATGACTCATCGGTAGGGACACAAAGCCTCACTGCTCAGGTTCCTCTGCAGGGCTCAGAATGAGCTCTGTTATTCAGTTTTTTTGTTGTTGTTTTTTACCCTGAAATACAAGGATGTATTTTATGAAGTCAGTAATGTAAAAACAAAAGCAGATCAAAATAGTGGGGAATAATGTCCAGCTTGTGCAGTCAGAGGGAGCATTCTGTGGGTCTGATAGTTCTTTAATCTTCTCATGACTTTTCATCCCCCTAATGGGGGTAATTTTGCTCCTGTAGAAGGAGGTGGATATCTATGAGCATCTAAATATTAAAATGTATCCAGCGGGATAAAGTAAAGTCAGAGATTTTGAATTTTTGGATGGTCTTTTTCCAGGGATTGTTTATCTCTGAAAGTTAGGATTGTTCTTCTAGTGTGATTGTATTTGTGCGCAACACTTCAAATTAATATATTTTTAGCATCATTTTCCAGACATGTTATTGGTTCAGTTGGAATTTTAGTTGGTAAAATCTGATCACTGAGCTACACAGGAATAGCAGCTCTAATTCACCTATAAAAGGCACATTGTCATCAGGCTTCATGCAGGCTTCATTCCTAACAGTGCAGTTGGAGCTTGCTGGAAAAAAAACCTAAATTTTCTATTTGCTCAGTTTTGCTAATAAAAGTAAAATGCATCAGAATAATTAAATGGGAAGGTGTCATACTGCTGATTGGCAGCTAAAGCACGTTTCCCTACACTTTGGCAGCAGTCTTTTGTTGGATACTGAGGATGGAAATGTGATCCTGAAATATACAGAACGTCTTTATTCCAGTGGTGCATACTTAACAAAGTGTTCAAATGCAGGAAAATGTGTCTTTCCTTTGCTTTTAAGTCTTTCATTGTTGCCACCATAGTAACGGGTCTGTGTGAGTGTTTTATCTATCGTAGCAGAGGGGTGTTGGGTCATTTTCATTGTCAGCATGTCATGTGCTACAGGGCTGCTTCCTGGCTGAAGCTGCTGGTCAACAGGATGTGCTTTGTTGATGAACAGGATAGAATTCAGAGGGTAACTGAGAAGCTAGACAAGCTCAGGAGGTTTAACAGCTTTTGAAGAACTGGTCTGTTACCATCTGCGCGGTGAATTTTGTGAAGACTCAAGTTCACCGAGTGCAAAAGGCGTTTGTCTGGTTAGATTTAGTGGCTGCCTACCGCTGCTCCATCTTCTGTCTAAATTTCAAAGGACTCATGATGGGTCAGAGGTTAGTCAGCCTCATTTTGTGGCGGTTTACCGGCTGAAGCAGACAACTTTCACATCGTTGCTCAACTTGCAGTTTTTGTGCCCGTTTCACCGCTGACTTCCTCCCTTTTCTGCACCCTCTCCTTTCTGGTCCCTCACAGTTTGACAACGACCTCTTGCTCACCCTCGACCCTGACAACCGCACATCACCATGGAGACATCTCGATGACAATATCCTCACAGGTACAGACCAGGCAGCCAATCAGTGTGCTCACCTTGAGGCCTTAATCCAGCCCAGTCATCTTTTTCTGGATTGTATCCCTGTAACGCGCCTCCTCCTCCTCAATGCTGCATCAGCTCCTCTTTGAGCCTGAAACCCAATCAAGTTTGTTTCTTGGTTTCACGTCCCACATCAAAGCAGTTTTAGTGAATATTTACACATGTTCTTAGAATAAAAATGTGCTGCATACTAGAGCTGATTAGAAAATGATAAGAAAATGAGTCACAAATGGACACAGTTGTCGGGGTTTTTTGTTGTTTTTTTGTTGTTTTTAATCCCGTCCAACTGAAAACCAACATTTTCTTACTGGTATGTTTAGTTTTTTTTCTAAGTTGACTGGGTTAAGTCCAGCCCAGCTCAGAAATGAACACATTGTTGTAGAACACATATTTCTTTGCCTCTTTTTGGTCATGTATCATGAATATATTTACTACATTAAGGTAGCCTTGTTGTTCTTCAGCCCAGTCATCGCTTTTTAATTTAAGTCCAGATACATTGACTTGAATTTGCTAAGCTCGTCCTGCCTTTTTATTCTATATGAAAATATTCATAGGAGAACATTGATGCTGAACTCCTCATGTTGCCACACATAGTTTATCTGTCCTGAGATTGTAAAGATTGAAAGATCATTTTAGTCATAATTCAGTTTGTGGATTTATCTTTTTTATCTTCAATCTTCAGTAATGTTAGTTTTTGATTAATTCAAGCCTTTGAAAAGATTTTAATCTACTCTTCTCAACTCCAGTAAGCATTTAGATTTATCCAGACGACATAACATCTGTCCCCATGTTTACCTTTCTCATCAGGAGACGCACCGGTGATCAAGAATGAAATGACGATAACGGAGCCGCTACCTGTGGAAATGTGTACGTTTTCCTTTTTTTCCCTTTTTCTGTATCTATGTTTATGTCATCAAGACGATTAAATAATATATTTATTTGTTTTGTTTTGTCCAGTATTCCAGGTAAAAGCAGAGCCCCCTTCTCCTGCTTCCTCACTGGAGTCCGACTGTTCGGTATCCTCACCCGACCCACAGGTGCGTTTGTTGTCATGGAGATACACAAAGTAAAGCTCTCTCGTATCAGAGCTGACATAGTGTCCTTCCTCTCCATGCTTAGATCACAGTGAAAGGGGAGAACCCTCCAACTCCCCCGTACATGTATGGAGACGTGTTGTCGCCTCCACTTGGGACAATGGAGGTAACTGTGGCAACAACAGGAGTACCCCCACCACAGACACAGATTCCAACAGTCGCACAAACACAGCTGCAAGCGCCACTCACATCTGTCCCAGCTGTCATCAGTGGAATTCAGACGCAGGCTGCAGGTATGCTGCTTCAGTTCTGAAAGTTCTTTGTTCTGCTTAAATCAAACCACAAAGATCGATTAAATCACTTGGAAAAACGGACACCATTTAGGAGCAAAAGCCAACAAAGTTGGTAGTTTGTTTATTTTTTTTCTGTTATTCCTAAGAAAGAAAATAAGCCAAAGCATGGACAGGTTCAAGATTTATTAATTCATTTTTTTAATTTTGAACCTGTTTTGCAAACTCTGCAAACAGGATTTTCAGCTTAATTGTCTGTGTTGAAATTTTAAGTGTGATGTTTTTGTTTCTCACCACACGAGAATGATGTTGGCCTGAGGGAGAAGGGGTTCAGTTTACCAGTCGATCTGCGTTCCCGCCTTCACCTGTTGATGTATTCTGTGCAGAGACCCGGGGCGGTCCCCAGACACTTTAACAGTGTGGGAACTCCGCTGGAGATAATGGGCCTCTGTTGATTTGAGCATAAAACAGAAGGGGTACTAGATGGGATGGCTTCAGGACAGCTTGTGGATATTCGTTTTAGTGCCATGTTAGGTCTCTATACACTTTTAATATTATTGATCATTGAGTAATTCTTGGATTTGGTGATTCCCTTAAACATTGACCCAGCTCACCTGTTCCTGCTGATGCACGCATAACAAGTGCTCACCAGAAACTCTTACATAAACTGCTGCCTTAATAAAATAGTTTTGTTATACTTCTCTTTGAACTTGTCTGGATGATTTTCCTCCATGACTAATTGTCAGGACATCAATGAAGAGAATCTATTTTTTTCACAATTAATCTTTTTTGGACTTAAAAACTCAAACTTTGATCAGTGCATTTTGAATTTGTCCTTAGGTTTGTTTTCCTTCAAAGAAACTCTAGTGTCATCATTTTTAAGTGACACAGCTCCACGAAGTTGCGTGTCTGTTTGTCCGGTGTATGCAAATGTTGAAAATGGGGGGGGGGGGGGGGATTTGTTTTATTTGAATAACTTTACATGCATTTGATGGATTGCTGCTCCGTGCTGTTTGAAATCAACAGACCCGTAATGTCGGCTTAAAGGGGTTAAAAAGGCTCACTATGATAAAGGAAAACATGCCTTCTTTCTTTTAGTCCTGCCGAGCTCAGCAACAATGAAGGCCAGCACCATCCTGAGCACCAAACCGCCCATCCAGCCCCGACCTGTGTGTGTAACCACCCTCCCCGTCCCACAGAACACGACACCAGCCAAGACCCTCATCCTGCAGGGCCTCCCATCCATGGACCAGACCAGACCTGGTAGGAGAAGACTCAGTGATTTATTCCTGGGTTATATGGGTTTGGGGAAAGTTGTAGTTTAGTCATATAAGTTGCTCAGCAGATGAAAGCCGGCATCTCGTCATCTTTTTGTCGTCTTTGCTCCTCCAGTCGTCCTCTCTCCGTCCGTCTGCCTCGGTTCAGCTCCGGCCATCGTCAAAATGGAGCCCGTCTCTCCCAGCATGCCCCAGCACTGCGGCAGCCCGGCTGCCTCCGCCGCCAGCAAACCCATCGTCCCGGCAACTACAACGTTACCGGGCAACAACTCCAGTGACATTGATGTAAGTAGGAGGTGATAATGACTCATACTGTTTCCTGAAACGCATGCCCTGCTGTTTTTAAAGACTCCACTTTACCCAGATCTGTTTTATTTAGTCCAGTGGACTTGAAGACATTAGTACCCACAGCTCCTTTACCCTGCACACTATTTTTTTTTTTTTTTTTTGTTGGGGAGAAAAGACAAACTTCCACAGTGACGGGTTTGCTAACATCTGCCTGAGGCTGCTCTTACATAATGTCACCCCCAGGCTGCAGGGTTGAATCATGCACAGGTGCTTCTGGTATCTCTTTTCCTTTCTTCTGTTTGTTCTTCACCTGCCTCACCCTTCTTTATGTTTTATTTTTTTACTCCACCTGCTCAACTTGCTTCTCTCCTTCTTCTATGCCTGACGTCTTGGTTTTTTTTATTGATTTATAAAAAGAGTTCTAGTTTGAACTCTCTAAAAATGATGCCTTTGTGCCCTAAAACTGCCCCTCAGCCATTTTTCTTTTCATTCCATCACGCAGATGAAGGTCCTGAAACGGCAGCAGAGAATGATAAAGAATCGGGAGTCTGCCTGCCAGTCCAGGAAGAAAAAGAAGGAGTATCTGCAGAACTTGGAGGCTCAGCTGAGGGAAGCCCAGCAGGAGAACGAACGACTTCGGAGGGAGAACCAGGCTCTGAGGGAGAGGCTGGCCGGGAGAGAGGTGAGGAGCAGAAAGGAGGATTTACACTCTAAAGTTATTCTTACATATCAACTGTATGCAAACTATAAAATGTTTAAAGGGTTTTTTTTTTTAGTTCAGGTTTGAAAGAAGATGTAGGGCTGGTCTTTTTAGCACCAGAAGAATATTCTTGGTGATGTGTCAGGTTTTGTGCCACCTCGTAGTTTGTAACCACAGAAAGGCATAAACAGATAAAACTCTTATGAACAAAGAGCGTGTCTTTCTTTGTTTTGCTTCAGGGTAGCGACGGTAACAAGAGAGCCGTGTGTGTGATGGCTGTTCTGCTGTTCATGACCTTCAGCTTCGGACCCGTCAGGTATCCATTCATGGCTCTCCTTCAAAAGAGACGCTGCTTTAAAATCTATCACCAATCAAAAGGTCATTTTACTCTCTGATGGATTTTGGTCTTTGTTCGCACAGCATCACAGACAGAAAGCTGTCGCCGGGTCTGCAGGAAGACGTGGTGACGTACACAGGCAGGCGGCTGCTGGAGATGGAACAGCAAGAGGCAGCAGCTCAGCCTCTCGGCAAAGAAGACGACAAGACGGAGGCCGAGGAGGACGGAGGGGACGAGCGGTGGAAGAGAGGAGAGACTGAGAAATACATTGCAGAGTCGTATCAGTACAGGTGAGAGGAGTCTGATCACGTCTGTCGGTTTTTCAGTGCAACATTAAAAAGCCACATCCGACCTATCACAGCTTCAGAATCTCAGCCGATTTCCTCAGATTTTTTGTCAGTCTTTAGATCCGCAAATATTCGCCTTATGGCTCAGACAATTCAACTGTAAGACTGAACACTGAGTTCCTTAAGATACAATGAGGTTTTCATTGTCTGTTGCTGAGCATGCAGCCAAGTGAAAGAGACAGTAAACACTACTCCACCCTGTGATCACACTTCGGCCCACATGGACGACGAGCAGAAGCTAAACGCTGCTTAACCACACAATGAACCGAGGATTCAGAACACTTTACATACCACATGCCTCACATGGGGGAAGGGGAAAACTTAGTGCCCCAGCCACTGTTCTGAAAAGCGAACACACGTATACAGAATACATTTGTCGTTTGAAACCCGTGTTGCTCTGTGTGTGCCTGCTGTCCAGTGCCTAACCCCAGCTGCCGTTTTCGTGCAGAAACCTGAGCGACATGTTCAGCGACATGAAGGACCTGGTCCTCCAGGACATTGACCGTTACTTCACCTCCTCAGACTGCCGACAGTTTAACCGCTCGGAGTCTCTAAGGTCAGTCAGCCTCAGTCTTATTCGAGCCGGATGGGAGAAATGAGAGAAAACTACGGACCATGATTAAATATATATACATATACACATATTTATGTTCTGATATAAACATCTTGGTCTGCCATTTTGTTCAACTTTTTTTTTCTACTTTAATGTAAAAAATTGAATAAAAGACTTCAGATCTAACTAAAAAGATGGACATGAACGAGCCTAAAATGCATTCATCGCAGGAACCCAAACAGTTTTTTTTCTTAAAGTACAAGCTGAATAGAATCTGTGTTCGTAGGCTGGCAGACGAGTTGAGGGGTTGGGTCCATCGACATCAGATCGACCGGAAGAAGTCCGGTGGGAAACCAAAAATAGCCAAGAAAGCAAAGATCGCCCAGGTGAGAGACTTTGTCAGATAAAGACAAACTTTAGTGATATCTGCAGATATCCTGCGTTTGTATTTATGGTCTCACCCTCTCGCCCTCTGTAGCAGAAAGCTCAGCTGAGGAAGACCAACTTCTCCCGCTATCTGCCGATCCAGGCTCACCGCTCCATAGAAAGGTACAGTCTGCCGATGGCTCCTTATCAAACCTGTGCAGCGAGGCTGACAGTCGGATCCTGCCGAGAATATGGACCAGCCTCGTACTGTTAAATCTATAATGATCACACAAACTCACAGCGATGATGGAGGGAGAGCAGTTATTGAACAGATGTTTAAACAGAGTCAGGAGGTTAAAAGTGCTTAAAGGATGGTCTTTGAATATTTGTAACAAACAGTATTACTAAAACCAGTCCTCGTGGTTTTTGTGGTGTATATGTGTGAATGGGTTCATTATCCTTCAGTGTGAGCTCTGTTTTTCCTCCCTGTGCAGTCAGCTGCAGGTGCTCCCGGGTCCTGAAGTCACCTACAGCGACTTCCTGGACGCCATCGACCGCAGAGAGGACACCTTCTACGTGGTCTCTTTCAGACGGGTGAGACGGCACGAACCTCTCGGCTCCAGCTTCCAAACGTTTGGAAGTTACTGGACTCTCTCTTAACCGCTTCCTGTGTCTCTGCCTGCAGGACCACCTGTTGCTTCCCGCCATCAGCCACAACAAAACCAGCCGGCCCAAGATGTCTCTGGTCATGCCGGCCATGTCCGTTAACGGTGAGTCCGTCCGTCGCTTAAAAAGGAGCCATCGCTCATTAAGAAATTGGTCACTAACGGCTCATTCTGTCTTCCTCCTCAGAGAGTTTGTACAACTCGTCCCAGGGCTACGAGATGATGATGCAGGTGGACTGTGAGGTCATGGACACTCGGATCGTTCCCATCAAGTCGTCTGCAGTCCCGCCATCTCTACGCGACCCACCCCCTCCTCCCCCGTCCTCGCACCACAACGCCCACCATCACCACGGCAACAACACCTCCCTCCGTGGGCGGCACCAGCAGCACCACCCGCCCTCCTCCCAACCTTCATCCTCCTCCTCCCCGTCAGCAGCATCTCCACGGCAGCCTTTAGCCGCCCGCAGACGGACCCCCGAGTACTTCATCGGCCAGTCAGAAGGAGTCTGAAGACGCGTTGCTATGGCGAAGATGAATGTGATGTTTCAAATCACAAAGAGGCAAAGACGATGTCTTCAAGAGTTATCCGTGACAGCTTGCCCAGAAAACTAATTCCATGACACCTGAGAGATTTTTAATTAGTAATTTATACATTAAATGGTAGTGATGGGATGTAGTAAAGGGCTTCTTCAAACATATTGTCCTCGTGTAGGAAAATGGCCCAATGATGAGCAGCGCAGAAAGGGCAGCGAGTGCCTCTTGACACCCCCTGCAACGCAATTTCCTCATAATTATTTTTGGCAGCTTAACAAACTCCCTTATCTCACAAAAAACACAAAACAATGCTTCCAGTCAAGTTTAATTCTGTTCCCGTTCTTTCAGAGGGCTCGGTTATACCTCTGAAACTAAAATCATCAGCAGCCTACAATAACTACAGTCCAATGTCTCCGTTTGTATATTTGTATTATTGTGGCTTTTCTTTCTTCTTTTCTTTTTTTTTATCTAAAAAAAACCCACTGGAAACACTGAAGAGAAGAAGACAAACAGTTTGGTTTTGTTAATGATGCACATCAAGATTTGGTACTTTTAGTTTAAATGTTAAGGGGCTGATTTGAGAGGGTTTCAGGATTTTGTTTTTGCTGCTTTTGGATAATTTTTGTAGTTGAAAACTTCAGCTACCTCATGTTTTATGCTCACTGCGACACCCATCCAACACTTTAAAGATCAGTACTATTACAAAAAAAAAAACTACAACAGATACAGTTTCCGCTAAAATATGAGATGAGAAAGCCATGATGAAATGAAAGCTTCCATGTGTTTTTGTTTAATTTGAGTATAAATGAACGAGGTCTCATTTATTATTACCGACAGCTGCAGGGTGGGGATCTTGTTGGCTTGAAGACATATACATTTTGTCAGATATGCTGCCGTTAAGAGACAGGGAAGTTAAGCAGTTAGAAATCAGATCATTTTTAATATAAAACTTTTTTTAACACATAAATATATATATATATATATAATGGTGTTTTACAGTGTAAATATGAAACCGTTTGTTTTGTCTCGTTTATTCTTGTTTCACCAGCTGATGTGTGAATAAGTCGGTGTTGGGTGGGCTGGTGCTGCACTTGTAGAGGTCTCAGATACAGAACTAGATCCCACAATAATAAAAACGGCTGATTCTTCAACCAATCCCACCAATTCACCTGGCAGCAAATTAAAACCAGCAATTCAGCTCATAATTTCTGTGATTAAAGGACACTTGAGCTCGTTTAGTAGCACCATTTTTTAAATTTTATATGTGTATATATTTTTTTTAGCCCATAAGCGATGTCAAAAGCTTTCGTTAGTCCTCTGTATCAGCTGTCACCCTTATTCGTTTTTTTTATTACTATTTAATAGTTGTAAATATTACTGTAGATATTTTTTCTTTTTTTTTCTTTTTTATTTTCTAACAAAAAGTAAAAACGTGATTATAAACTTGTTTCTGTCGGAAGGTCCTTTCCTTCCTATTTGCATGCTTGGCGTCATGGACCAATAAGCCACACTTACTTTGCTAGTTAGATGATCCGTTCTGTTGTGAAAAAGAACACAATACCATTTTAATAATGAAGCCACTTGGACCCGGCACATGTGACCTGTTTCTGTTCTCTTTTTTTCTTTTGTGACTAGCTTCAAATTCACCATTCAGACAAGAAGTAAAGCAAATTATTGAGCTGTTTCTTTGACCTTTGGAAAGCCAAACAACTCAACCAAAGCCTAATTATTTTCTGTTGAGGGTGTCTGAAAAGCTCTGAATGAACCTTTGGTCAGATTTGTGAATATTTTGTCACTTTCTCTACGCAAACATCCTGTAAATTTAGCTACGTCTTGTTTTTGTTTTTTGATTTTTCTACCAGATCTGATCATTTTATATGTAAAGAACTGCAATGCTGAAACTGAACATGAAGTGAAATGTCCTTTTTTTTTTTTTGTTTAAAGGGTCTTGGTGAACACCACTGTTTATCTGGATTATTAAAGGTTTATATGAGACTCTTTGAGCAATAATGGTGATCTTTCTTTGTTTTATGGGACTCCATGAAGATAAGAGACTTTGCTTCAATGAGGATTCCTGAAATTTTCTTTAATATCTTGTTGAACTGCTTTTAAATTCTGGTCAACTAATGGCATGACCTTTTTCATAAAGCATCTTTTTCATTTTGAGAGTAGAAATGTCATTTTGGAGACTATACTGAAGAAATGGCAACAATAGGAGGAACATAATGTTCACCGATGATAAAATCGGATGTTAGAATAGACCTAACAAATCTTCATAATTTGCAGAGACATCATTGCATCTTGCAACAACACATTCAAATCTAGTGATACTAAATGGAAAATCGGTGACTCACAGCTGAAAGATGTCATGAATCTGAAATATCCTAATCAGTTTAAAGCAGCATTTCAAACACACATTGATGTTCAGGGCAGAAGGCGGTTAAACGCAGCCCTTAGAGGTTCCACATGGATAACTTAGCTGCTGAAAGATGGAAAGCCAAATTAATTTTGAAGAGAAAATGGAATTTGAGGGGAAAATGTTTTTTTAAAACAATCTCTCCAAATTATGTTTTATTCTAAAGTTGTTCGTTTTTTTCTAAGTTTTAAAATACTCAAAAGTAATGCATTTATATCTTCCAGCCATGTTTTTTTATTTATGTATAAATGATGGTTTTCCTCCTGAACTGTTGGTGGTGCCATAGGACTGAGAATCTCCAGAGTCTGGATGTATTTAGGTCTGAAGCCCCTGAGGACCAACTTTAAAGTTATCAATGCTTAGAACTCAGAGTAAAACTAATGAAAAAAGTGTCGGACATCTGTTACTTTCACAAACAATATTCAAAAATTAGATTTTAGGCCTGATCGTTTTGCCTTTCAACATTCCGGTTATTCCTGTCAGCGTATTTATTTCAGGACAAATACAAGAACGCCACTAGAAGGTGGTGGAGAGCTGCAGGCTGCTGAAAACAGCACTCAACTGATGTCGGTGGAGCAGGAACAGAAACTCAGACAGAAGAGGCCTATGACTGATTATGCCAGTAAATCAGAGCAAAATGAGGCGATTCCTGACATGAGATGTGAGGGCGCTCGGTGGGGACCCGGAAATTCAACCACACACACAGGAGTTAGGAAGAGCAAAAAAAACAAGTTTAATAAAATATTCAGTCACTGGTCGCTGCTCAGGGAATGGTCAGCCAACCCCGTACTGTCATGCAGTGAACGGGAGGAGCAGAAAACAAAAGGGAGCTTTGGTTGCCGAGGATCCAATGATACTCTCCACCAGGAGATCCAGTTGGCAGCACGCAGGGACGAAGACGAAGATCAGGCAAAGGTCATACACGGGTAGGCAGAGAGAGCAAATTTAGCTTGAGGGGCAGGCGATACTCGGTGGTCGTGAGGCAGGCTTGGGTCAGGGTCCAGAAATCCAGAATAGACGAGATCCGACAAGGGCTTGGCAAGGGGGGTCAATCCGTGGACAGAAAGGGGTCAGGAAACACAGGAGGCTTGAAAGAAAAACGCTGGATTACTACTGGCTAGTGGCTGTCGATAATCTGGCAAGGCGGCCGAGACTGAGTGGTGTTTAAGTAGGGCGGGGACCAGGTGGAACAGGAAGGCAGTCAGGCCTGGCAGGTGAACAGAATGTTGGTTAGGCTCAGCATGGACAGACAGAACCAGAATCATGACATGAGATGAAAAATGTGAGATGGATGTAACCAAAAGAGTTCATAAGCAATGAAACTTTCATCAGGATTATGTCATTTTATTCAAAGACTAAACCTAATATCACACAGGAGATCACCACAGCAACAAGTAAGCAATGAAAGAGAAAATCTAGTGAGTCTGCCTTTCCACAAATATGTATATAGATACATAAATGTGTGTATATATATACATATATATGTATATAAAGTAATGATGGAATGATTTATTATCTGTCCGGGAAATGCATCAATGAGCTGCTGTCTGACTGTCATGATTTCACATCCTCTGTGCGTGAGGGAGTGATGGATGATGTCATGGTGTGTACTTCACCGTCTGTTTTTTTGCTAAGCATAAATGATGGTTTTCTTCTTCTGAGAGTTGACAGCTTTTAAATCGGCAGCTGATGACAGACACTGGAGGGACACAAAACACTTTGTTAGCCTCTTGCTCTTTCTCCTCCTTCTCAAACCACCCTCATGGAAGTTTATTCAAGACAAACCCCCCAGACCAGCATTTTGCAACAGCCAACTTTTGAATATGTCGTGACGGTAGACTTGTATCCAATAGAGAACACAGATGTGTTTCCATTTGTTTTATTACCTACTTTTACTATTTACATACACTAACCTGCTTTCAAATCACTAAAACTCAGGATTTAAAGTGTTTATTCACAAATGGCATAACAATATTTAAGTGAATACACATTCAACAACTTTATTTAATGTGTTCATTTAGCTTTTTAAAGGCATCTGCTTATAAATAGCTACATCTTGTTTACTCTGCTGCATCCTCTCTTTGGTTGAGAGATATTACATCAGTTAAAAACTATCTAAGAGCAAAGGAAAGGAAGTAGAGCAAGTAAGCAAGTGGTTTAAGGATGTTCAAGTCATTGGAAAAGGACCTGATCCCAAAAGAAAGGAGTCTTTACCCGGCCCAGAGTCGGTAACGAGTTCATGATTTAAAGGCGAACTAAGCAGCAGATGCACGTGTCGTTTTTGGTTGCTCAAACACCAAATTCGCTGCTGTGATCCGGATCATCTGTTGGGGATTTGCTGTACAAGTTAAAAGCAGAAGATAACAAGCTCCAAGAGCCACACAACACACATGCATCAGTTTGATTTGATACATGTGTGCGCTTGTCTTTTACAGATATTCTTTCACGTCCCTTTGAGAATTCATTTTCTTTTTCTCTGCGCATAATTGTTCTATAAAACCAGAGCGGTCACTGATTTCCTCGTTAACTCTGCGTAATGGGGACATCTTTTCCTGCCCATCGAGCAATTCAGTGTAGTTTTAAATTAAGGTTAGCCACTGGCACACAGTCAACGCCTGGATGTTTATTTGCTCATTTAGTGAGCACACCCCCCCTCACTGTTTACAATGGAAATTTTACAATGGAAAATGTATTTAGATGGACATGCAATATGTGCACATGTGCCTCTTACAGATAAGACACAGCTTTCTCTTGTGTGATAACCAGGGAAAAACACTGACTTCCTGATTGAGTGTTCATAAACAAATAATGCTCTATAATTACATGCTTGTAAAAAATAATAAACAATAAACAGCAATTAAAAGAGTTTAAGGAGACTTAATGATCGTTTGGTCAAAAACGGTAAATGGCCAGCTCCATTTGAACAACATGTTGGTCGTTACTGATGGCAGAGAAATGTTTTAAGGGAAGAAACTGTGTTGAAATTACTCATAATGTGCATATTATCATGTTCCATTCATAAAAACCAATGTTTCTGAGAAAACCGTGTTTAGGTTTTAATATCTATGTAGCATTTGGCTCAGTTTGCAGTGGGCTTCCTCTCATGTGAACTCATGTTTCTGGCCCTGGAACAGAAGCTGTAAATCTAATGCACAACTGTGGGCTCCCAGGATTCGGGGAGGTTGGAAAATATAACATTAAGCTGCCACAACCATGGATGCACGTTAGAAATATTAGCACAACCACTGCAAAATGTTGACTTGGAATTTTTTTTTAAAGGAGAGAAATCTCCTTCTTTGTCAATAGTCCTTTGCGTTTGTAAATGTTACCTTTACGTTCTCCTGACTTTTCAGGATGACAAGCTATGGATGCCAAAAATCATGATGATTGAAATTGTGACTCTTGAAGACAATCTGACCCTTCTAAGTGCAATGAGATCATTGGTCTGTTGCAGGTAAACTCACTTTATGCTGCAGAAAGTTGCTTTGAATGGCTGATGATTTGCACCTTTACAGATGCTGTAAAGGGACAGTTTCTTGAACAAAACTTGTTAAAAACAGAGTGAGACTCTTGCGATGACAGGGACGGCTCTGCTCAAGTTTTCGTCCTTCAGCTCTTCATCCATCTCTGAGACCTCAGATGAAAATCTCATCATTGACAATAAAATAAAAAGCAGAGGCGGCCATTTTCCAGCAAGTGATTAACCAAAGCTCCGAGAATTGAATTAAATAAATAAATGGAAGACGCCTACCAAGTGGGGAGCTAAATCACACGTTTTAAATAACTTAATTACAGCAATGTAACAGATGGACACTTTCACTCTCAGCAAAGAGACAAGTGGAGCGTCATCCTGAGTCAAAGACTAGTCACGACGAAGATGTTCTTCGTGTTAGCATCAGGAGAGAAGACACAAGGTTGGAGAACTCTGCACAAGAAAAATAGTGTCCAAAAAGGCAAATACACCAACATTTTGTTGACGCAAATGAAGGGCTTCAAAGACTTAACCAATAACCAGAAATAAAATACTAGAGCTCTCATAAAAGAAAAAGCTAACTTTTTTTAAGCTTTTCCCGAAGCTGGAAATATCACATTTGGTGGAATTATGGCGAGGCCTTTGTTCGGATTGTTTGTAAGAGCTACCCTTGCTACCAATTGGGCAGTCAGGCCCAACATGAGGATGTTCCCCTCTTTCCTTTCCAAGCATATAAATAGCCAATTTTATGGCAATCCACCACTGTTCCTCCAGGTATTCAGGATGTTCAGACCAGCTGACCTCACTGCGCTCATCTTCTTGTGGGGTAAACCTGAAATATATGGGTGTTGTCATCTAGCCGCTTAAGCTGAATTCCAACCCAATGATGGCAGCCAGAGGCCTTTTTGTTCTGCCAGCAGCAACTCTGAGATCAGTCAAAACAAACAACAGCTTCCATATGTCGGTAGTATAACTTGTTCTCCTTCTTTACGGTCTATCGTGGTTCACATGTGTAGACAGATCTGTTTTCACAAAGTGATTGGAACAACATGGGCAGCTGATGTAAGGTCAGAGGGGTTTTGCACTTCTGAAAAATCCAGCAGCTCAGCTCAT